CCTGCAGCCTAACCTTTTCGCTAGGAAAACACAGATAAGCCAGCATATATTTAAATTAATTTGCTAACGAAGATTAGTTGTATGGTAGCACATGTAGAGTACGATATTTTGAGAAGACGTTTTTACAAATGCTGTTGAGATTTGTATTATTGGAATAGAAACTATTCGTAACAAACACAAATTATTACAATAATGGCTGGACTAATCAGGTGCACAGCAGACTAAATTAAACTTACAGCTTTGGGATAAATTGAATAACATTTAGTGTCTGATTAATAAGCACACGTTTCCAAGGGGTATTTCATTAATTAGTTATAGTCATGCGCTGCATTTTAACAACTCACTGCACCTTCTTGTATATATATAAATAAATAAATGCAAACTTATCAGATGTCACAAGCCCATTTTTCGTACCCTAACACATTAAAGTACACGTTTTCTGTATTGCGATTTCAAAGAAAACGACTGTTTTCTGTAGTGACTTATGCATATGGATCGAGATAAACAATAAATTAAGCAAAAACTGTACTTACAAAAAATAGTGAAAGATGCATGCTTGATATAATACGCAAACAATTGAAAAGAAATAAAGGGACAACAGCCTATATGCTATTAATATAAAATTCAAGGAGCTGAGAGACACTGAAGTTCTCCAGCAGACAACTTTACCACACTGTGGGTGAATGTTAAATAGATCTTCCTACTTCTGCCACAAGCCTACATTCACTATTACTACTACTACTTTTACTATTATCACCCACAACTGTTATTACTACAGTATCGCTATAAATCATTTTAGTCTTATGGGAGTTGTAAGCGCTCGAATATAATATGTAGTTTCTGGCATGATGATTTGATTGGTTGTTGCCGGTAGCGAAGGCGTTAATTTGTGTTTGCTGTTTACCCACGTAAGTACAGGAGCAGGCAACTTGTAACTCCTGTTAGCAGCTAAGTGCTTTCCTTTCACATAGCTAATTTTAAACCTGAAACATGAAATATCTGCTTTGGAAAACGTTCAACACAGAGCAACAAATATCATCCCAGAAGTTGCTGGCCATAAAACTAACATTTACAAGCCACAATGCAGGACAAAAAAATTGCTTTTTCACTCGTAGGTTTATAAAACCATAGAACCGCCTACTCACTTCCATCACTGTCCTACCATTCATTGCCAATTACGCGTGTGGTTAATACCTCTAAAATTCTTATATTCACTGCGATTCACCCTAATTTCGCGATTCAATTCGCGAATGATTCGATTTTGCGATTCGATTCGCGATTATATTCACTGCGATTCGCCCTAAAAATAAACAGCTGTACAATAACAGCTGTTTCAGTCACACGCTACAGTGCCATTATCACACACTTCACGCGTATTTTCATCTAGCAGTGAATAGTTACCCGGGAGTAAGGAAACTGTTGAGGATTACATTCTGAGAGAGGCCTAGCCTAGGGGAGGCTTCTCTTTGGACACAAGCACAACCAATCATATCACGCATCATTCGCTTGGACGGGTACAGGACGAAGTATTAACCTTTTCAGTGCTCACACACTACATTACTCCGTGTCCAGTCATTGGACTCTTGATACCTGCCAGGATGAGTTTCCTGGAGGTGAGTAATTCACTCTCGTGTTCAAGAGGTTATCCTCATACTACATCCAAAGTTTGTAAACATAGGCTACTAATCACATTCCCTTGTATGAGTAACCATCCTGTGAATGGGGATTTCTTAGCATTTTATTGCTAGCTATTGAGGCACACTGTAACTCCATATATAATCTACAGTAGCTGCATAAATGTAGATGTATCTAAATATGGTAAAACGTTCGACTGTATTTAATATATATTCCTACCTCCTCATTGATGCTAATAATAATAATAATAATAATAATAATAATAATAATAATAATAATAATAATAATAATAATAATAATAATAATAATAATAATAATAATAATAATAATAATAATAATAATAATAAATAAATAATAATAATAATAATAATAATAATAATAATAATAATAATAATAATAATACTTGTTTATATAAAGAACATTTGAACCAAGTTACAGTGGAGTATTCGTGGTGCACATAATAATTTATATAAAGCCTTTACATGATTTGTGTGGGGAATTATCTACAAAATAACTTGCTCATTCGTGACTGACCTAATAACGATCAATTAAATCCATACAGCTCTGAAGTCAACACAATGTAACAATTATTTATAAGACATAAATCCCTCACACCAATAATCTCGCACCACCTCGTGGAAGGTGACAATCAAAATAATATCTCCGCCAGTCACCTGTAGCTCACCTGATAGTCAAGGGTGCGGACACTGACGACACCTGTCTTCAGTGGCACAGTGGGCGTAATTGGGCGTAGGTGGTAGGTGGATAGGCGTACGTGGTAGCAATAGGCACCAAAACAGGCAACCGGGACACACTGAAGGTCAGAAATCCTCTCTTCCTCAACGGTCAGTAATTCTTTGATGACAGCCGCTGTATCTGTCAGCAAAGTGTGAGTGGTCTTATGGCATATAAAGTAGGATAGCGAAAATGATGTCGGGACTTAGGAAGAGTGTGGGGGATGGTGTTGGGGAGGGGAATGTGAGTGATGGTGACCTGAGGCAGCAGGCGAGGTCAGAGACGAAGTGAGGTGCTGCAAGAAGACGCAGCGTGCGGTGCGCCAGGCTTGGCGCCACTGACGCCCGGGCTTGCGTCCCGCGTCTTTCATACTTCGCGGGGTTATTGTCCCTGTCTCCGCCCCCTTCCAGTTATGCGGGACCAGCAAACCCTATCATGGGATGGCTCTTAATCCTGTCTATAAAACATTATTTTGTAAATTAAAATATATAATAAAGTTTATTGCTTGTGATGTGTGTCTGTGTATGTATTAACACGATGTACTGAACGGGGTGAGAATAACTTGAGCTACCTCATCCCTTTGTGTGTATTTTACCTCAATAAACTTATTTCAATTTCAATTTCAATCTTTACCTACATAGGCTGCAGGGTAAGATGATGAATGCTACTAAATGATGAGCCTAGTGTTTATATGACGTGCTTAGTGCTACTTATATAATGAGCTGAATGCTACTATATGATGAGCTGAATGCTACTATATGATGAGCCTAGTGCATAAGTGACGAGCTTAATACTACTTATATGATGAACTTGGTGCTGTTCATACGATGAGCTTAATGCAACCTATATGAGTTTAATGCTACTTATATGAGCTTAATGCTACTTATATGAGTTTATGTCACTCATATGGTTAGCTTAGTGCTACTTACTTGATGAGCTTAGTGCTACTTACATAAGCTTAGTGCTACTTACATAAGCTTAGTGCTACTTACATAAGCTTAGTGCTACTTGTATGATGAGCTTAGTGCTACTTGTATGATGAGCTTAGTGCTACTTGTATGATGAGCTTAGTGCTACTTGTATGATGAGCTTAGTGCTACTTGTATGATGAGCTTAGTGCTACTTGTATGATGAGCTTAGTGCTACTTGTATGATGAGCATAGTGCTACTTATATGAACGTAATGCTACTTATATGATGTGCATAATGCTACTTATATTATGACCATAATGCTACATATATGATAACCATAGTGATAAGTCTATGATGAGCATAGTGATATTTATATGAACTTAGTGCTACTTATATGATAAGCATAGTGCTATTTATATGATGAACGTAGTGCTACTTATATAATGAGCTTAGCGCTACTTACATTTCCCTTTCCGTGTGAAAATATCAGCGGCGTTCTATTCCGCTTCCAGCCGCTGGTGGAGGCCTGCCTGGCGGGCTGTGGAGGGAGGCTCAGGTGCTGGTGTTCCCGACACCTGATACGGTTAACCTTACCTCTCATTAATTACCCAGAATGGTGCGTTTAATGACAGCTATCTCAGGTTCAATAGGGTTGAGAAGGGGGGCCATTGTGGCGCTTAGAGGCGGTTTTGATGAGGTTGGGCGTGTGTACATCAGTGGGAGTGTGATTGATGGTGGGTTTCGACAGGATCTTCGTCCCAAACATGCCAGGCTCGTGTCCGGCCTGGCATTTTTGGCATAACGAGTTGGGTTAAATTTGCTTACATTCAAGATTGATTTGGGTTAAGTTTGGCTTTCGTTAATTATTGCCTTGGGTGCTTTGGTTACGTTAAAGATTGGTTAGGCTAGATTCAATTAATTTGCTTAGGAGTAACCTAGCCAAACCAAATTTATCCTGACTTATTTTTACTTTACCTAATTCAACTAGAAGGTTCGGAAAAGCGAAGCTAACTAGAAGAATATTGCTTTGTTTACTTGGAACAATAAATATATTTGAATTGTACAGGTTTATGGCGATATTTGTATACAAATGATCTGTCCGGAACTAGAAATTGGGTCTCTTTACAGGTAGAGTCTTTGACACGAAGCTAAAGAAAGTTTCAGACTTTTACCTGAATTTGCCTGAGGGCCATAATTTTTAGTAGTCTCAACGGGGACACAAAGCAGGCAGCTTGTCAAAGGCTCCCCATCAACATGAAGCCATAATTCTTAACAGCTGTTGAATACTGTTTGATTAAACCTGTATGTTGCAGTTCGATTAATTGTTTATTAATCTCCATCGGGTGTGGTTCAACTTATTAAATAAAATATATGACAAACCGTTCTAGTTAGTCACTAATGACTCGCTGAAGATTTGGCTTATGTTGGATTACAGGCCTAAAACCTCTCTAGACTGATTTTAAGGCCGTGAAACTAGCATACTGACCAAATTCTCAGTGTATATTCACCGAGAGGCAAGGTAAATCTCCCGTTGTATGTATCCCTTACTGAAGGCTCTGGCTATACAATCAGCAAATATGGTGGGCCTGAGGACACAGGCTAGTGAACAAAGGCTCCTACCAGTAGTTAAGAGTGTAAAACTTTGCATGTAGTTACAGGATAGTTTGGTAAACAGGCAAACACGTTAGATTGGATAACTTTTATTTATTTATACGAAAGTGTGGGTAGTGTGACTTACCACAAGATGGTCCGTCAAAACCTTGAGACGTCGCTAAGTTATCGCCCCTCTCAATACGTCACACTTAGACACTAATTACTGTACTGGTGAGTCTCCTAAGAAGAGAGCACATACAAGACAATAACACAACAGTACTCAGCTAAGTTATAACATTGAGAAGAAAGTACGCAACTTACGTATAACAACGCACTATTTACAATCATTTATACTTCGTTTCATTCAACTTTTCCCAATCCCTGTTGACTAAGCTTAGTCTAATTCTTGAATTATGATTAATTTTGGAACAAGACGTACGACGGTAGAACTACTTGCTGTTATGCTGGTATGCTGGTATGTGGGTGGTAGAGTGTTAGTGGGTGGGTGGTGTTGTCAATGGGTGGATGGTAGAGTGTCAATGGGTGGGTGGTAGAGTGTCAATGGGTGGGTGGTAGAGTGTCAATGGGTGGGTGGTAGAGTGTCAGTGGGTGGGTAGTGTAAGAGGTGCCAGCAGGTGGTTCTTGGCAGTACACGTGCCATATCAAATAAATATAACCGGTCGTATTCCAGCCTGCCCACCTGATGATACTCCTTGTATTTGAATTTCCCAGAGACTATAGACACCTTACTTGCCCCTATCGTAACAATATACACTTATGCCCAACTTGTGACTCCTACGTGTATGGGACCTGTGAGAGCGTGTTTCCTCCAGATGGGCATCACCAGGTTACGACCTCCGCCTTCACTGTCACACACAACTCTTGGTATTAATATTCAACATAATTTATTATTTTGTATTATGAATGTGAGTTACGAAGACACAGAGTTACGTGTCGATGTGTTGGGAGGCAGCGGCCTTAACCCGAAGCCTCCCAACTGGCAGGAGGCCTCTTGCAACTGAAGAGAAGCACGGCGCAATTAATTGTGAGATCAATTTAATTTAATTTGTCTATTGTTCATGTTTTTTATTAATAGCTTAATTATAATTTAAAAATATATCATTCATGCAGTGACCTGATTGTCAGGAATACTGGAAGAAGATAGCTTTAAAGCTAAGACTATGTAAGAGTGGTATTCAGTCTCTGTGATTACGTGGCCATCCTAACAGCAACTCCCGCAACAGGATGTACCAAATAATATATGTGCTCTTGTTTTTTCAACGTATTAGTGAGTTCTACGACCTCGAGCGCAGCACCAGCTGGGGTCGGTGGGGTCAGCCTGGCCTTCTTTGAGCCAAAACCTCTTCTAGGTTGCCAAACCCTTGTCCTCCACCCCTGTACACCGGTCTTGAGAAGCCCTGTGGAACCCCAGCGTTATGTGGCCTTGCGAATTGCTCGACTTGCCTGTCGACGTAGGGATCAGTGGTGTCCTCGTGGTACTGTGGTTGAGTGTGAGGTAGATTGTCCAGGTAAACAGGAGATGGACGTCGCGGCGCCTGTGGCGGGGCGCCTGCTACCCCTACTGGATATGTCACTTGCTGGTCGGTGTCCACGCCGGCCAGGCCGTGTTCGAAGCCCTCGGGGTAGTATCGGTCAGCGTAGGTCTTGTTGCTACCGCTGTCTGCGTCCAGTTCCTTGTACAGAAACTCATTCACGAAGTGGAACTTGGAGGATTTCTCGCAGATGTTGTCTTCAGAGCGGGGTATACAGATGAGGTGCACCTGCCAACAAGTCAGTAACTATCAAAAGAAGGCACCAAGCCAGGAAGAATAAAAGGCACCGTCCTGCCAAGAAGAAGTGAACTTTACTTATGGTTTGGTAGTGGCTTTAAGAACTATCAACAGCGGGAGAGTTATTAAGACAACCACAATAGCTTGCTGGTCAACAAGTGTACATTACTTCTGAACTTAATCTACAACTATTAAGTGAACTCATTTTATATACACCGGAAAATGACTTACTTGGTGTATATATGTGTGTGTATATATATATATATATATATATATATATATATATATATATATATATATATATATATATATATATATATATATATATATATATATATATATATATATATATATATATATATATATATATATATATATATATATATATATATATATATATATATATACCAAGTAAGTGACTTGGTATATAAATACCATCTTATACTCAATAAAAATACCTAGATTTTCTAAAGTCAATGAACAAAGATTGACTCTATAAATCAACAAAGATCTACCAAAAGCATACAAGCATTTTGAAAATTTAAGGACATAAATATATGTGTTTTGTCATATTTGAGAAAAAAGAATGAAATGAATCACAAAAAAACTAAAAAAAATTCTTTTGTTATATATAATGAACGTGAAGCTTAAATTTGGTCATTATTGATCTACGTCCGCGGCTCATAACCGAGGGACCCGGGTTCAGTTCACGAGTGGAACAGAAACGGTTGGGCATGTTTTTTTCCTGTCACCTGACGCCTCTTCACCTAGCACTACATAGGCACCTGAGTGTTTGGTGATTAATTAGGTTATTAAAACACGATTAAAACAGAAGGGAAAAAGAAACAGGGAAAAAGGAGGAAACCCCACCTCCATGTAAAACTTTGACCCAAATATCAGAGTAACAAGATTATCGCGAATAACCGAACTCAATTACGGGCTCACCATAGCCTGTGCTACTTGGAACTTGTTCCGAGTAGCTGAATCTATAACAACAACCGCCTCAGTTGCTACAAGTACATAACAGGCTGCATTACATATTCAAATTACACGTTACACTCACTGTGACCTACACTGTTACACTCACAGTCACTGTGACCTACACTGTTACACTCACAGTCACTGTGACCTACCTGGTGGAAGGAGGCGCCCTGGGGACACAGCCACGAGTGCTTGACTCGGTCCTGGCAGTAGTGGAAGACCTCGCACTCAACGTCCTCGTCGGCGTAGTAACCGTTCTTCTTGTCGATGCAGGAGAAGTGCGAGTCCAGGAGGAGGATGGATAGACGGTCAGGTTCTTCTTCTTCCTCCTCCTCCTCCTCCTCCTCCTCCTTTTCCTGCTCCTGGTTCTCGTAGTCATACAACACCCGGTATGGCCGCTCTTGCGACGCTGCTTCCTGGATGTCGTGGGTCTCTATCACGTTGTACTGGAAAAAATAACATTTCTTAATTCAGTCATTTTTGTTAACTGATTACTGCTATACTCTGCTGTCACTGTCACTGCTTGCGTCGTGATGTAACTGTCACTCTACAGTCATATGATGTCACTCTTACGTTAAATAATGTCACTGCTTACATCATATGATATTGTCATAAGATGTCTTGCCTAAGTTATCTTAGGCAAAGGTCAAAGCGAAGTTTGAGGGGAATAATAACCAATTTCTATACTTTAGAGGCACAAGCAACCAGAAAATAATACTTGCTATCCAGGAATAAAACCGAGTCACTTTGTTATAAACTAGACGAAATATTGCCAAGTTTGATACAGTTTTTTAGATGGGAATCCCAGTAAAAATCCCTAAAGCTGTACATCTCTGGTATGATACTTTCTTTACAAGAAAATATGCCACACATTATCTTTAACCACATTGTCCAGATACTTGGACTAGTTGGTACAGCGGCGAGCTCGATTCTTACAGGTCGTTGTTCGATTCCCGATAGTCCAAGTGGCTGGACACGGCTTCTTTCCTCCGCCTTCATATCCCTGTATACTTGGAGGGACCTGTGTGGACATGTGTGATAACTCCCCCACCAGGTGTGTCAGCAGGTGTGAACAGTGTGTGGTTAGAAAGTCCAGAGTGAAGTTGCAAAGAAAAGATCAACAAGAGAAAGTGTGCTCCTGGAACAGCAGCTGGTCGCCACGACAGTACTCCACCTATAACACACTTCTCACCAACCACCCACCCACCCACCCAGCGCCACCCACCCACCCAGCGCCACCCATCCATCCAGCGTCACCCACCAAACAGCTACACACGACACACACAAAAAACTCTCCCACAAACTCTCCCTGTACTCTGCGACCCTGGAATCACCCAAAACGATGTTGTTCTCCACGAATATTCCAGCGAAGGCCTGGAGCCACCCTCGGCTTGAACTGTCGACAACTGTGTTGTAATCTTTGTGGGATATGGACAGCTTTTCTAGTGTCCAAGACTCAAATATTATGGACAGCTTATCCAGTGTTCAAGACATACGCAGCATGGACAAGTATTCCACTGTAATTATCAGTTGTTATGAACTAACATCAGGAGCTTGGAGTGTGGCCTCCGTCCACAGTGGTTAGTCATAATATTTCACCAAATATTCTCTAGGGCTTTGAAGTGCCCAGAAGACTCAACTTTTAGCAGCACAATCGTTCTTGATGTGGGAAGGGGAAGCCTAGCGGCTTACATATTCACCGTTATGCGTGGTTTCTCTATCGCTTTCCCTGGCGTCAACTTACACTGGAAGTGGTTCACACAGGTACGTCAGTGTTCAAGTGTTCCTGTTGCTTTGAGTTATTGGTGTTCCGTGCTGCCTCGGTACAAAGTGTTGATATCTTTCGTTTTCGAGCCAAAAATGAGTAAATTGAAACGTTTTCTCCTGAAAGTATTCGTTGTGTTCTACAACTCACTCCAGCTAGTCTTCAAGTTCCTGCTGCGATTTGCGAGAACTTGTAACTTGTGAAAATGCTTAACTCTTGTAAAGTTTTTTAGCTGTTAAAGCTAGAGAATGAGATAATATTTAGGCCAATGTAAAAGATGTTAGTGTGAAGGATGCTAAACTTAAGTGACAGTTCTGAACATGCTTAATAAACACAAAAAACTGGCATCTCCAATTCTTGTGTGCCTGTCAGACCCACTGTCGGAGGCAGTTGAACCATTTACAAGTCGAACCATATACACACTATCACAACATCTGGTTAAGATACTTCTGAGCTCATCGTGGTGCAGTCGACAGTGAACCATGATGAGTTCTTGTAGCTTCCAAGGACGCAAGGTCGATCCCATCGTATGGCCTCAATATTTTGCCAAATACAAACTTGGATAGGTACAATAGAGTCCTTAATTAATCCCTTAAGGTCCTTAATTCTTGTAAGAACTTAAGAATAACGGAAACAGCAGAAGGTCCATTAGACCATACGAGACAGCTCCTATTTATATCCACCCCAACATTCAAGTATAAGAACATAAGAATGGCATTTATGTTCCCATTCAGCTCTCACTTGAACTTTTTCAAACGTGTGCCGAAAATTCCTCGGCGCAAACTTCTTGCTCTGTCAAGACGCAGAACAATGGTCGCCCAGCGCGTTAGATACACTACGTGACACAACTTACATCCATTTGGAACACATGTTGACGACTCGAGTCTCTCGTACGCCGGTTACAAAAGACTTGGTCGAAGTGGAGGTCAGCTCTTGCTTCACCAAGTCCAAGTTACACAAAGCTAGCAACGTAGGCAGCTCAGAGAGAAATGAAAGAAGCAGAGACAGAGATTGAGACTTATATAGACAGTGGTGGAGAGAGAAATAGAGATGAACACAGATAAAATAAATACAAATATTCAAAGAAACATAGAAGAGATAGATATATTGAGACAGAGGGGCGGGCTTGTGGTTAGGCGGAGGGGGGGGGGGGGGGGGCCGCGCCCATAGACTATTGGCCAAACAGCATTCTTCCAGAGTATCCACATGAGATTGATATAGCTGGAATGTCTACATGTCTACTATAATAATAACAATGAACCCTTCAGGGAAGACGACAATTGTTGGCCAACTTATTTCACTGGTGATACATAGCTCTGGCGAGACCTTCCTTGCTCAACACTGGACAAATGCTCGTAATTCTATCCTTTTTTCTTTCCTAACCGCTCTGGATACGTAATGTGGGGTAATATATCCAAAGTAAACATCTCTGTCTGTCTGTCTGTCTGTCTGTCTGTCTCTTCTCTCTCTTCTCTCCTCTCTCTCTCTCTCTCTCTCTCTCTCTCTCTCTCTCTCTCTCTCTCTCTCTCTCTCTCTCTCTCTCTCTCTCTCTCTCTCTCTCTCTCTCTCTCTCTCTCTCTCTCTCTCTCTCTCTCTCTCTCTCTCTCTCTCTCTCTCTCTCTCTCTCTCTCTCTCTCTCTCTCTCTCTCTCTCTCTCTCTCTCGTTACATGCACAACTTGCCTCTCTTTCGAAACCCAATGTTTTTTCTTCAGAAAACAGAACTCTTTCTGGTCTTATTCTTAAATAAAATCTTTGTGTGTGTCTCTCTCTCTCTCTCTCTCTCTCGTTACATGCACAACTTGCCTCAGTTTCGAAACCCAATGTTTTTTTCTTCAGAAAACAGAACACTTTCTGGTCTTATTCTTAAAATAAAATATTTGTGTCGCTTTTTTTACATTTTAAGTTCCGAAGACAATTGAATTTGTGCATTTTGTTTTTTCTTCTGAGTGACTGTCAGATGTTTGTTGATGAAGCAAAATATTAAGAAACGCCATTGTTGAGTAATCCTGTACTAACATTTGTACCACGACTGGGATCCTGTTCTGACATTTGTACCACGACTGGGACCCTGTACTAACACTTGCATTACAACTGTCCCAGTCTGCATTAACATCTGTTTCATGGCTCACAAAAAAGGTTCGAACGTTTGTATAAAACCAAACTCCTGATCGAACGTTTCTAAAATTAATGACATTATTATTATACAAATGTTCTAACAATAGTTGGCTCAACCGCAACATTTTAGCTGCACTGACAGGATAGATCACAGGTTTTGAGTCTAAATATGATGAGTTTTGTAGTGATTAAGTTGCAGTTAATTTCTGAAACACAAGTGGGTGGGGTGGGGGGGGGGATGTGTGATTGTTTGAGATGACGTGTTGATGTTTGCTCAAGAAGCTGTAACGTATGAATGGAAATATAGATTGAAATATGTATATATGTATGTTAAGAATGAATTATAAAAGTGGAAACAAGAATAGACGGTTCACTTACCAGAGGCAACTGGTTAGGGTGGGAGGGGCGACGGTCTCTGGCGTCCAGTTGTGAGTGTGGCCGAAGAGGTCCAGGACTCTGGCTGTGGTTGGGCCGAGCAGCAGACACGATCACCACCTCTTTAGTCTCCTGTTCGTACTGCTGACCTCCTAACTGTTGCGGCGGCTCTTGTAGCTCCTGCTGAGACTTCTTTGCTGCGTCTGAACTCTGTACGAGTGGCTTTCTTGACCGTGGGGGCTGTTGCAGCTGGGGCTCCTCTTCTTGCAGCGGAGTAACTTCAGATACAAGCACCTGAGTGACTCCTCTTTGGTGCTCTTCCTGAGGCGATGTTTGTTCCTGTGTTTGGTGTTCCTGGTGACGCAGTTCGTCCTGAGCCTGTGGTGGGGAGAAGATGTCTGGCTGAGGTACCGGAGGCCTTAAATGCTCTGAAGGAAGTCGCGAATCAGCGGTCTCCCGAGCTGACTCTGGATGCTCGTCGTCACTGAAGAGCGGCAGAAAGTCGCCTCCTTTTAAAGCCTCTTCTTCTCCAGATACAATAATATCTTCTTCCGGCAGGAAGTGTGGATTGTCAAAGTGTGGTCGAGGATCTAGAGGCAAGTGCCCTGTGCCTTGCTGGGGGTCGAAGGGAGAACCAAATGACCCAGTGCCCTCCTGGGTAGGTGGGCCATGGTAGAGTGGTCTGGATCCACTAGAATGAAGGGACGGTGGTGGCCCCCTGAATCCTGAAGGAGGAGGAGGCCTTCTGTGTCTGGATGGGGGCGGCCTCCCGCCTCCATGAGAGAAGGGGCCCACGTCGAGCACCTGCCGACGTTGTGCGGGGTGAACTCTGTGTCCGGCCAGCTGCTGACTCTCCACCACAACCACCGTCAGCGCCGCCGCCACCGCCATTACCACCAAGTCTCTCATTGTTTATCACCTGCGGATTTACAACAGAATTTCAGATCACTTGCACATACAAATAATTTTTTTTTTTAGAAAGCAAACGTCAGATTTTATTATTTGCCTGAGACCTGTTATATTTATGCTGATAAATATATATTTGATCATTATTATTATTAATTAACTACTTGCTAAATGTATGTGATAAATTATATTATACATCCTAAACACATTCTAAATTATATTTAAAAAAACATACTGGGCCTATGAATGTTTAAGTTTCTCCTGTCCTCTACAGAAGTAATTATACAAAACGTGAAGATTGTTAGCTGAAACAGTCCATTTTTGTACGTTCAACCAAATCGTTGCTATAAGTACTATAATTTTCAGAGGCTTGTGTTCTCTGGTCAGTCCGTTCTCTGTATTTACAACTCCGTAAAAATACAACAGTGTTGCCTAATGAGAAACATGCGAGCCCAAGTAATCCACCAAACCCATCGAGGCCGATGCATAGAAAACATCAATATTTCGGAACTTTATTTTTTACTAATACGTTGCAATATAAGTGGTTTCGTCGATTCTATAAACAAATTGCGACGTATTAGGTGAGAGGACAGGTTGCTGTGTAAGCTTCGAGCTTGACATAGGCTGCATACGTTGGACTGGGCTTGACATTGAACAGAGTTTGACAGCCTAATGACGTTGAACCGAGTTTGACAGCCTAATGACGTTGAATCGAGTTACATAGACTACCAACTACTTAGGAACTTGCCTTGAATGCTTCAAGATAATGCTTTCAAGCTTTACTTAGAATGGCTGCGAACAGATGGATAAGCTGAGAAGAACAATCAGACAAAATCAATATCTTAATTATCACGAGTAACAAGCACCAACAACGGGCCAACCCGTTCGGCAAGTTTTTATGTTTTTGGCTGAGTGAAAGGTGCAGGAAGTGACAAGCGGTAATGGCGGGAAAGACGTTTGGTCATTTGAGATTCTTTACCTCGGGCCGTTCTGCAACAATAAATTATAATTGGTATCACTCTCTCCGTCTTTTGTTCCAAGTCTCGCGCGCACCCGTGTTGTCCGCAAGAGTTACCACCGCCACGCCTGCGTCACGTTTGCGTCAGGCCTGCGTCACACTCTTGCATCAAACCTCAGATACGCCTGCGTCACAGCCTTGTATCAAAACCCGGCCACGCCTGCGTCACAGCCTTACATCAAACACCTGTCACACCTACGCCACACGCCAGCGTCAAGCGCCGTCTACGCCTGTGCCACAGCCCAGCGTCAAGCGCCGTTCACACCTACGCCACACGCCAGCGTCAAGCGCCGTCCACGCCTGTGTCACACCCCAGCGTCAAGCGCCGTCCACGCCTGTGTCACACGCCAGCGTCAAATGCCCTCCACGCCTGTGTCACACGCCAGCGTTAAATGCCCTCCACGCCTGTGTCACACGCCAGCGTCAAATGCCGTCCACGCCTGTGTCACACCCCAGCGTCAAATGCCCTCCACGCCTGTGTCACACGCCAGCGTCAAATGCCGTCCACGCCTGTGTCACACCCCAGCGTCAAATGCCCTCCACGCCTGTGCCACACCCATACCACACCAGCTTTATCCCCACCAACTCACCCGGGCCACATCATAAAACCTACATCACCAGCATAGCACCCACAACATTATCACCCTTCAAAACATTGTCCTGCACCAGCATTGTCTTTAATAACTACAGGTGAGAATCTGGTGAGTGATCTCACCACAGATCACTCAGAGATCACCAGGTATAATGTTGACCACCTAAACTATAAAAGAAGAATTATCAGGAGAAAGCGCAATACCACCATGACAATACAGTATAGCACCTGGAAACAATATGAGGACAGGTTAGAAGCTGAAATATGAGCACAGGATAGGGGTTGGGTTAATAAGGCAGGATAAATTATAAGGACTTGATAAGAGCTAGGATATGACAACAGGACAGGAGCTGGGATATGAAAACAGGATACAAGCTGAGAAATAGGTAAATATTAGTTTGGAAATAGGCAAATACTGGTTGAGAAATAGATAAATATTATTGGGAATAGGAAAATAGTGGTTGAGAAATGTGTAAATACTGGTTGGGAAATTAGATAAATATTGATTAGGAAAGGCAGTTGCAGATTTACAACAAGTTTGTAAAGTAATAATCCAGAAGGAAACTTACTGTAAACTTTCTGTAAAGTTAGACAACACAAGAGTAGGGAAGGTCAGATGCTTTCCATGGGCAAACACACCTCATCATCTCCACAACACAACCTTAACAACCCCCAGCAACACAACACCCAACAACCACCAACAACAACACAACAAACAACCCCAACACAACAACCAACAACCCAACAAACACAACACCAACAACACCAACACAACACAACAACACAACACCAACACACAACAACACCAACAACACCACACAACACAACAACTCCAACACAACACCAACACAACACCAACAACCCCAACACTTCACCAACAACCCCAATACAACACCAACAACACCATCACAACACCAACAACCCCAACACAACCCCAGCACACCCCCAACACAACACCAACAACCCCAACACAACACCAACAACACCAACAACCCAACACAACAACCCCAATACAACACCAACACAACACCAATAACCCCAACACAACCCCAGCACATCCCCAACACAACACCAACAACCCCAACACAACACCAACAACCCCAACACAACACCAACACAACACCAACAACCCCAGCACATCCCCAACACAACACCAACAACCCCAACACAACACCAACAACCCCAACACAACACCAACAACCCCAGCACAACCCCAACACAACACTAACACCCCCCAGCACACCCCCAACAACCCCAGCACACCCCCAACACAACACCAACAACCCCAGCACACCCCCAACACAACACCCACCGTGTAATCCGTCAGTAAGGGCGGTAGACAGTCACTGACGCAGGGGACCACTCTACACTACTGTAGCTTTCACCTCGCTCGCCGCCTTAAATAACTGCGCTTTTGAGAAATGTTTCTTGTGGACCCGCCCCTCAATTGTTCCCGGGGTGTAGTAGGTGTTCTCTCACCCATTGGTGCCCGGGAGGGTGTTCTCTCACCCACTGCTGCCCGGGAGGGTGTTCTCTCACCCACTGGTGCCCGGGAAGGTGTTCCCTCACCCACTGCTGCCCGGGAGGGTGTTCCCTCACCCACTGCTGCCCGGGAGGGTGTTCCCTCACCCACATGCCCGGGAGGGTGTTCTCTCACCCACTGGTGCCCGGGAAGGTGTTCCCTCACCCACTGCTGCCCTGGAAGGTGTTCCTTCACCCACTGGTGCCCGGGAAGGTGTTCCCTCACCCACTGCTGCCCGGGAAGGTGTTCCTTCACCCACTGGTGCCCGGGAAGGTGTTCCTTCACCCACTGGTGCCCGGGAGAGTGTTCCCTCACCCACTGCTGCCCGGGAGGGTGTTCCCTCACCCACATGCCCGGGAGGGTGTTCTCTCACCCACTGGTGCCCGGGAAGGTGTTCCCTCACCCATTGGTGCCCGGGAGGGTGTTCCCTCACCCACTGCTGCCCGGGAAGGTGTTCTCTCACCCACTGCTGCCCGGGAGGGTGTTCTCTCACCCACTGGTGCCCGGGAGGGTGTTCTCTCACCCACTGGTGCCCGGGAGGGTGTTCTCTCACCCACTGCTGCCCGGGAGGGTGTTCCCTCACCCACATGCCCGGGAGGGTGTTCTCTCACCCACTGGTGCCCGGGAAGGTGTTCCCTCACCCATTGGTGCCCGGGAGGGTGTTCCCTCACCCACTGATGCCCGGGAGGGTGTTCCCTCACCCACTGATGCCCGGGAGGGTGTTCCCTCACCCACTGATGCCCGGGAGGGTGTTCCTTCACCCACTGGTGCCCGGGAGGGTGTTCCCTCACCCACTGATGCCCGGGAGGGTGTTCCCTCACCCACTGATGCCCGGGAGGGTGTTCCCTCACCCACTGATGCCCGGGAGGGTGTTCCTTCACCCACTGGTGCCCGGGAGGGTGTTCCCTCACCCATTGGTGCCCGGGAGGGTGTTCCTTCACCCACTGATGCCCGGGAGGGTGTTCCCTCACCCACTGATGCCCGGGAGGGTGTTCCTTCACCCACTGGTGCCCGGGAGGGTGTTCCCTCACCCATTGGTGCCCGGGAGGGTGTTCCTTCACCCACTGATGCCCGGGAGGGTGTTCCCTCACCCACTGATGCCCGGGAGGGTGTTCCCTCACCCACTGATGCCCGGGAGGGTGTTCTCTCACCCACTGGTGCCCGGGAGGGTGTTCTCTCACCCACTGGTGCCCGGGAGGGTGTTCTCTCATCCACTGGTGCCCGGGAGGGTGTTCTCTCACCCACTGGTGCCCGGGAGGGTGTTCTCTCATCCACTGGTGCCCGGGAGGGTGTTCTCTCACCCACTGGTGCCCGGGAAAGTGTTCCCTCACTCACTGGTGCCCGGGAGGGTGTTCTCTCACCCACTGGTGCCCGGGAGGGTGTTCTCTCACCCACTGGTGCCCGGGAGGGTGTTCTCTCATCCACTGGTGCCCGGGAGGGTGTTCTCTCACCCACTGCTGCCTGGGAAGGTGTTGTGTATTGTAAATGTACATCATACAATATTTGTTTCTGTAATTACTTGGAGATTCCACTGTGTCGAGTAACTCGTGTTCATTCCAGCCGCTAATCCGGGAGAGTTCACTCTAAAGCCTGGAGTGTACCGAAAATAAAATGGAAAGTCTTTCCGTTCAACTCTCCCTAATTAGCTCAGTATTTCCTCTCGAGAAGAAAATAGTGGACACCTGGAATGGTTTGAGGGAATAGTTTGCGAGGCAGCTGTGTAACGCTTAGGGAAGCTCGCCCACCTGCACCCATACGGAGGTTCACGTACCTGCCCCTTTAGGGAGGGTCACCCACCTGCCACTTGAGAGAGGTTCACCCACCAGCCTACGTAGGGAACTTCACCCAACTTGAGAGAGGTTCACCAGCCTGTCTCTTTAGAAAGGTTCACACTTAAGATGGTCTTCCACCTCCTTCCTTCCATATATAAATATATATATATATATATATATATATATATATATATATATATATATATATATATATATATATATATATATATATAACTTTTCAGACACTCAACCCACCAGGGGACTCGAACACTGGCCAACAAGGTGGCAGTTGCATGCTGTATCCACTACACTATACTTCAAAGCCATAAGAGAGGTAGGAATTCTGGGGTATTTAACCAACCAGAACTCCAATCCTCTCCCAGGCAATGAGATAGTGTGGGACCTCGGATGCTCTTTCATCGGTTCCTGTTATATGGGAAAACTCAGTGCCAAATGCTTAATGCACAGACTACCCTATTCCAGTAGCTGAAGTTTATAACTTTTCAGACACAGTCTGAAAAGTTATAAACTTCAGCTACTGGAATAGGGTAGTCTGTGCATATATATATATATATATATATATATATATATATATATATATATATATATATATATATATATATATATATATATATATATATATATATATATATATATATATATATATATCATATTGGGACCAATTTATTAGTAAAATTAATTTATAAATTCTATAATTTATTGATAATGATAAAAAAAATTTTGCTTGGACGAATGTTGTATTTTTTGTATTATTCTTGTCAGTGGTCTGTAGTGTAGTTCCCGGTGCATAGTCTAGGTCAGAGCTGCCTTGCGGCCCGACCACTATCAATACCATCACGAACGCTATTGTGGTTTATAATATATTTTTTAAATGTCTTCTTTATTATTTGTAAACTTTATTACTAAATATGACAAAAATTACCAACCCGTTTTCTCAAAAGTAATCTATAGATTCTATGGATGGAATGTATAAAGTGTGGATTGTTGTATCCTAAAATAGCCTACGGATTAAATGGTTTCCCAAGTTCGTAGACAATAAAGTACTTTTATGGTGACTGTTGCATGAACAGCATTGTATATAGCCTTACCATGCATCGGCAACAGATAAATAAAGAGGAGAAATTTGTGAAGGCATGTGTAACCAAGTGTGTGAACTGAGTGTGTAACCAACCAAGTGTGTGAACTGAGTGTGAGAGTGTGCCATTGGTATGTTTACCCTTCCTAGACTAGCGCCCGCCTCGGCCTTGATGCTCTTCCTAAGTAATAATAATTATTATTATTACTATTATCTACAAGAAGGTACAATTGGTATGTGAGATTGCGTAAGGATTGGTATTTTTACATTCTTGCAAAAGCCACTACTACGCATAGCGTTTCGGACGTTCACCTCTCTCTCTCTCTCTCTCTCTCTCTCTCTCTCTCTCTCTCTCTCTCTCTCTCTCTCTCTCTCTCATTTATTTCCACACCTGTTTTTTCTTTTTTTGTGTATTATTCCCGGGAGCGTCATATTTTCGGTTTAAAAATCATTTTAGTTTTTCGATCATAGGTAATTTAAATGAGTTCAATTTGAGTCATTCTCTTGTTATTATTATTATTAATATTATTATTTTTAATATTATTATTGTTGATAAATAATAATAATAATTTATTATTATTACAGTATTATTATTATTAGTAGTAATAGTAGTAGTAGTAGTAGTAGTAGTAGTAGTAGTTGTAGTAGTATTAAGTAATGGTAATGTCTTCTCACAGACATAATAACACAGGATAAAAACCCACACTTGTGTATTTGTGAAATTTAAGTACGTAATTTACACCAAGTCTGTCACACTCTCCTGAGTGCTTTACCAACGTCTGAGTGCGTGACTAGGCTGCGACTTACATCTCAACGTCCAATGATACTATTCCTTACATGAATTTCACAAATACAAAAGTGTGGGTTTTTATCGCATATTTATGATATTATTATATCATTGTATTATTATAGCATTGTTTGTTTTATCTTGATTATTTGTATCATTATTAGTTTTATTATTATGATGTGGAGAGCAGTAAGGTGGGCGTGACGGGAAAGGTAATAAGAGTGAGGGGAAGGTCAAGTGTTGGGTAAGTGTGTGTGTGAGGTATGCGTCAAGGTCACCTCACATAATGGTACACCTTTCTCCTGGCAATTATTGTGCACAGTTACTGGAGTAATAGCTCTGTATGTGGGTCCTGCTCTGCCTCATACTATGTGGGTCCTTCTCTGTCTCTTATAATATGTGGGTAACTCTCTACCTTATGCAGTATGTGGGTCCTTCTCTACACCGCATAATGTGTGGGTCCGTCTCTGTCACATATAATATGTGGGATCCTCTCTATCTTCGCATGGGGAGATCCATCTCCACTCACAGCTTCAAACGAAAATATAATATTGGGCGAGGGAATCAGTTAATGTTGCACTAGAAACTTGGTGGCTGAGACCAAGAGCTGGAATTCATTTCTCCCAATCATTAATAAGTAATATCACACGCGCACGCACAGGCATACGCACGCTGATAGAGACACACGCACACCCTCGGTAGCTAAAGTTTCACTCGCACTAGGCGGCGAGAAAGCCTAATGTCACGCTTCTGAGACGGGTAAACATCCGTGCGAGAATTCCCCTCCACTGGTGTGGTGTATGTAGTGGGTTCCTCTATCCCACCGAGGAGCGCTGATGGTTCCCCCCTTCCACTGCTTGGGTTTGTTGATGAGACCCCTTCCTCCACTGGTGAGCGTAAACTGTCCACGTTCAACTACTGGCGGTGAGGGAGACAGGGAACCCCTGTCCACCGTCCGGATTGCATGGACGGGCACCGTTCATCCGCTAGGGTGTGCTCTGCGTCTGGAAAGTTGGGCGCTCTTACACGCACTGTCGAGCATCGCCAGCCAACACGCCTCTCTTACAAGCCACATTTCGTAAATTCCAGCCGACACGTCAGCCTCCCTGGTCACCTTCGTGCGCACCTCTCCAAGAGGCTCTGCGTTCCTTCTGGTCTCAAGACGCCGGCAAAGTGTTAAGTGTCCCCTAAAGCTACACTCGGGTCATTACGATACACCAGCTTTCTCATGATACACTTAGCTTCTCTGAAATAAACCCAGGATCGAAGTGAGAGAGCGTGTAACATGCTATGAGACAATATTGAAGCGATGCAATGGGATCGAACCCGCGTCCCGGTACTCTAGCTGGAAAGTTCAGGGACGCGTATTTGATCCCATTGTATAGCCTCAGTGTATT